AAGTTGCTTGCCTAGATAACCTACCTAGATACCAAGATACCAAAGATACCTACCTACCTACCCACCCAACTAGCTGCTAGAACTTTGACTTGACTTGGGTTTTTTGCTCTTGATATTTCTCACAATAATATGATGATGATGACGATGGATGATGAATGAATGGACCCCGAGAAACGAAAACCGAGTACGAGGTAATTTGGTTCTTGTACCCGAGTACACTGGTATCTACCTCGTAGATACCTGTGTAGCGCCCAAAGGCTCTCCACCGTGGTCGGAAGGAGATTCTTGGAGTGTTTGTGTGTGTCTTTCGCTTCTGTTTCATTCACATACGTACATACATACATATCTATGTTGGTATGTATCTGACTTACTACCTACGTACCTTGGGGTAGGTACCTCCTGAGTACGAGGTACTCGGTACATACGAGGTACACATATGACCCACTACTAGGCAGGGAAAAAAAATCCCAGGCAGCTTCTGCTTCTCAAAGGACATTTAAAAAAAACACCCCTAAGACAAAACCAACAACGACATAGAGAGAGAGAGACGGTCTAGTTTTTTAGCTCATGTCGACGACCATGGTCGCCGGCTCCTCGAGGTATTTCTGCACCACCTGGGCCATGCGCGCCATGGTGGCTCCATCCACAACCCTGTGATCGGCGCTCCAGCTCAGATTGACCGTCTGGGCCGGCCGGACGGAGACGCCGTCTGCGGCGAAGACGGGCACGGTCTTGACCCTGCCTACGCCGACGATGGCGAGCTGGCCCTCGACGATGACAGGCCCGACAACCTCGCCACCAATGTTGCCGATGTTGCTGACCGTGATGGTGCCGCCCGTGAGGTCGTCGTTGCCGAGCTTCCCGGCCTGGCCAAGCTGCGACAGGCGCTGGATCTTCTGCGCGATGGACGTGATGGACCGCGCGTTCACGGCCTTGACCACGGGCACGATCAGGCCGTTGGGCGTGTCCATGGCGATGCCGACGTTGTGCACCGCGCGCATCATCAGCTGCGGCTTCTTGGGGTCCGTGGCCAGGTCCAGCCGCGCGTTGAGCAGCGGGTACTGGTTCAGGGCCAGCGACACGGCCTTGACGATGAAGGGCAGGTACGAGAACTTCGGCGTCGTCTCTGGGTTGCGCCGCGTGGCATTCAGTCGCGAGCGCATCGCCGCCAGGTTCGTGATGTCGACCGTGTCCGAGTACAGGAAGTGCGGGATCGACAGGGACCCCGTCATGCTCTTGAACATGGCCGATTGGATGGGCGTCAGCCGCTGCGCCGTTTCTGTCTGCTTCGCGTCGATCGCGGGCTTGGACAGCGCCGCGGGGGCTGGTGCTGAACCGACAGCCGGAGTCTGGACAGCAGAAGAGCCCTGCTCGAGATATCGTAGAACGTCCTCTTTCAGAACACGCCCGTCCTTGCCCGTGCCCGTGATGTCTTCGATGGCGATGCCGTGCTCCTTCAACAGTCCCCTGACGGCAGGAGTGGCCAGAGAGGCATGTTTGCCTGGCGCTTTGGGCGGTGCAGCAGCAGCAGTAGAACTCGATGTGCCTTGTTCTTTGGGAGAGACGGCGCTGTCACCACCCTCTGCAGCTACCGCAGCTGATGTTTGTTCCCTGCTTACGACCTTGCTAGGATCGTCGTCCTGAGCAGCACCAGCCGCAGACGACTCCTCCTGAGCCTCTTGTCCCTCTTCGTCTCCTTCGACCTCGATATCCAACATGGGATCGCCGACCTGCACGACAGCGTCCTGGGGGAAATGGATCCTCTTGATGACGCCGCTGTACTTTGACGTGATCTCGACCGAGGCCTTGTCGCTCTGCACCTCACACAGCGGGCTCCATTCCTCGATGGGCGCGCCCTCCTCAACGAACCACTGGATGATCTGGACCTCCTTGACGCCCTCGCCAATGTCCGACAACCTGTGCGTCTCTATCCGGTCTAATCGGCTCGTAGCGTGGAAGTGTCTGCTCGCGGAAAGGAAAGGGGGGTATCTGTATGTTCGGGGACGCGTGATCGTGGTGAGGCCGGGGCTGCTCCTCCGCGCCAGTGCCAGCGACTGTAGCCATCGCAGGGCTTGTGGTGAAGGGACGTATTTCATGGTGCGAGCTCGGAAACGATCGTACAAGACATCGAGCAAGTTTCTCCTCTCCCTTTAATTTTTTTTCCCCTCTCCTGCTGGGGAGGTTCTTGGACAACCGCAGGTATTTGAGCTCGGTGAGATGGTCGAGGCCAACCGTGGATAACCGACAGGCCGAGTTGGGGGATGGCGGGTGGATAGCGGGTGGATGCGACATCGGAGACCCCGCCTGCGCTGCCCTGCGCTGCCCGTGTGGAGCAAGAATTGATAACAAGACGCATTAGACTGGCTGACTGGTAGACAGTGTCTGTCTTGTTCTAGCTTGATGCTGTTGTTCTACATACTTAGCTTCGACATAGTGGTAGGTGATGAATTATGCCTCAGATGAGCCATGAGCGCTGTCACAACCACGACAGTCGAGAACGCGCAATGATCAGATTTTGCGGTTACGAGAATGCCATACTTTTCTCAATAAGTAGGACCCATCTCTTGAAGCCCTCACCACAATAGAGATCTCTTCTCTGTGAGAAATCTATCTTACGATCGACCTTGTATACTGCCCTAACTACGCACTAGCCACCACCCTCGGTGAGCACCCTGGTCCAGTCGAACTTCCTCCATGCCTTTCTGAAGCTCTCGACCCTCTTGTCTGTCCCCCGGTGCCATCGTCCTTGCCGCTTGATCACATCAGGTTCCAGCCCTAGCATGCCCCCAATGATCTCTCGCGCAAACAGATCGCCTCTAGGCCACCGGTCTTGGTCCTCCACGATATGTCCGATCCCGCCGTCCAATTCGAACCAGACGTGGAAATAGGGCATCTCCTTCACCAGGCTCCGTCGAAACGCCAATCTGCCCAATCCTCCGGTCTTGGCCTTTGCCAAGGTGTCGATGATCTTCTTGTGCTGAGACCACTCGTCTTCGGTGCTCAGAAAGGCTTCCTTGAAGAACGCGGGTGCCGTCTCCCCTAAGCTGTAAGGGAGTGGTATGACACAAAGCGCGGCGTGCGGCTTTCGGTGTGGAAAGGCGGCGTTTTCGTAGAAGATGACGTCCCGGCCCTGGTCGTGGTACATACGCGTGAGAGACTTCATAAAGTTGCGGATCTCTTCCCACTCATCATCGTCGCACTCGAGGAGGTTGGTCCGGTGTTCGGTCGGCACAATCATGGTGGCCTGGGGTGACAGTTCGGGTTCGGTGGGCAGGGTGAGATAGGTCCTTGTTGCGAGGGAGACGACGGGAGCAACAGGTGGAGTGTCCGTGTCTTCGTGATGGCAGAGCGGACAGTTCTCCAAGATCTTATTGAGCTTCTGATACTCGTTGATGGCCACATTGCGGAGGTTGGTTTCGGACTTGTACATCCGCTTGGCCAGCTTCTCGGCGTTCTCCTCAAGGTAGTCAAGATCATTGTCGAATTTGACATCCTTTGCTATCCTCTCGGCAAGTCGTAATCCTTCTCCTCCTTGCTGTCCGCGGCTGCGGCGTTCTTCTCGGACCATATCTTCAATGCTCATGTCTTCATTCTCCTCGACCTGGCCCCGTTCTGCCCCGCGGCGGTTTTGTACTGCCTTGACTTCATTCCGAGGCGCGGATGAGAGCATGCGATTGTCCATGGCAGAGAGGGTGATTATCGTGGGATCCTGTGACTCGGACGCAGCAAGCGCGTCGTTGTACTCCCTTTCCAAATCTGCAGCTTTGGGGTCTTTCCTGATCTTGGCTCTCATGAGTTGAGCCTTGAGTTTGTTGAGTACCGTCTGATCAACTTTCGGGGTAGTGGATGTGGGTGCTGGGACAGGTATCTGCTCGAGCAACATATCCGGACTGGTCTCGGTCTCCCGTGGTTGAGATCGTCCAGTCCCGGCGCCCGTCTTGCGCTCCTGGAACAACTCTCCGCTGGGCTTGTCCTTGCTCACATAGCCCTTGCCGTAGGTCTTCCGGCGATCCAACTCGATTTTTTCTTCCCTGGCATCATCAAATTCTCGAAGACTGTCGTATTGTTCCAGGGCGATATCGTCCACCTTGCGACCTGTCTCTTCAGCTTGCCGATAGACGCCATTTAATCTAGTCATGCGCCATTGGGAGCCAGCATCTCCAAAGGTGTAGTCAACTTCGCGAGTGGCAGGTTCCTCTTCGACTTCATGAACAGGGGTACCGTTCTGTAGGTCGCGCAGGTGGTGGTTGAGCTCTCTCTCGTGTATTTTCAGCCCAAAGTCCGCTTCGAGAGACCCGCCCGTTGGCTTCGGCGACGGTTCACGTCTCTTCTTCTGAACATAATCGACGTCGAGCGCGGAAGGTGCCTCCATCCACGCATCACGCTTCAATTCGCCGGGACCTGAGCTTGTTGTGGGAGATTGCTTCTCCCCCTCCTCCTCAGCCTCTTGTGTGTCATTCTCCTCTTTGCTTTCACGGTGGCGCCGGTGATGGTGGTGATGTCTGTGTCTGTGCCTACTTTCTGACTCGTCGTCTTCTTCTCTGGAGTGCTTTGTTCTCTTGGACCGGTGTCCGTCTTCTTCATCATAATGTGAATCACCATGTCGAGAACTTCGGTGGTGATGGTGTCGATGCCGGTGTCCCGACTTCTCGTGTTCCCTGCGCCTCTCGCGCCTCTTCTCCGTCTCCTTCTGCTCTGCGAGCTCCCTCTCAAAGTCTTCCAGCGTCATTTGGACAAGGCGTCTCTAGGATGTGTCAGTTTGGTGGTGGGAAGTTCACCACGTACAAACTGCGGAGAAACTGATGATTATAGCGGCACCTCGAATGTGACAGAGACTAACTCCAGACCGTAATATCCACCTGCTGCTATAAAACTGCTGGACATGACCAAACCTAGGCTCGCGCACCTCATTTCTATTCCAACCCGTCCGTATCTTTTTTGTACGTCTGTTTTGCGTAGTCTTCTTTGATTTCAACACTTGCTGAAGAATCCACAGCATCATGGCCTGGACGATTGAATGTCTGTATAATATTTCTTAAATTGGTCGACCTATTCTTCAACCTCCCATTACAAAGTGGCTCTATTATGGTTGATTGAGATTTGATCGGCAAGTCTGTTATCACTTCCCATATTCTGTCTTCGAGAGTTGTGCCACCTTAAGAACTCGATCATCACATCAATAACAACAGATTAAGATAACCGTGGTACTTGGGAAATACCCAAGCACATTCAGGGATCAACCGCTAGAATAATCATCACCGGTAATCGAGCTGCGAAAATATACAGCGCCAATGACGAGAATTTCATCCGAGAATGCAACGTCTTGCGGCGACTAGGCAAGCATCCAAATGCGGTAGAGTTGCTCGATGTCCAAGACAGAACAATCGTTCTGCAGGCAGGACGATGTCTACGAGAAATACTTAAAGAGGGCGACATTTCAGATGAACAGCAAGAAAAATGGATCAGAGGACTTGCCTGTGGTTTGCAGTACGTGCATGAGAACAATGTCATACACGCCGATCTCAACGCTGCCAACGCTATTGTCTCCGGAGATGATGTCGCCATGTGGCTGGACTTTGGTGGCTCTCAAATTGACGACCAAGAAGCATTGGCGAACTATGACGAGTACAGTTATCGGTCACCAGAGTATCCGGATCCTCCTGTTAGCCGGGCAATGGATATCTTTGCTTTTGGCTGTACCGTGTTCGAGATCGAGACAGGCGCTCCGCCGTTCTGGAACGAGACTAAGCACATGTCCCAGGACGGAAGAATGTCCTACGTCGAGGACATGTATCGCCAACGACTTTTTCCATCCGCGGAAAATCTACGCTTCGGCCCCATAATCATGGGTTGTTGGCAGGGACGCTACGAGTCGATGAGCGATCTGGAACAAGATTTGAATATTATGGTTGTTCAGCGACCCCAGCCACAGAAATGAGGACGGCAATCCGGATCAACCCTGTCTACCTGAATCTACCTTGCCGTCAATTAACAGCGTACACGCTAACATGCCTGAGCAATGAAGCACTGAGACTCAATGTACTCGTGGCGTATGGATGTAGAACAGCAAGGGGAGGAGGGTGACGGCCAAGCTTGAGCAGTCCACCGTGGTCAGTCAAGCGCAGGAACATCTCAAGTTGAAGCGGCGACGGCCAGGGCTACTCTCAGGTCTGAAGATGGATATGGAAAGTATTCGTGTTGAGGTTCTAACGTCGAAATCCCTGTTTCGAGCTTACGAACCCTTCACATCGAGAGTACCATGGTAAGATTTGAATAGTAAGCGGCTTGATCATCTCAACATTTGTCAATGTCTTGAGAACTATTATTTTCAGCCCCGAAGAAACAGTTTACTACCTTGAACCCAGTATTTCAAAGCAAATGGGGGTTCGCTATACGACAGATACCTCCTTAGAAACGCTGAGAGTATAGGCTGGATCAGATTGCGCTAAGATCCTCCCTGTCGCCAATCGATGCCGTCCACTTCCTGTCCGAGTATGACTGGATTGCATCGAGCTTAACCGACAGCAGTGCAGCTCCAAGACGTTTGGATGGTGCCACCGGGGCCGAAGATCTCCTTGAGGGATTGAATGGCGGACCAAGAGCCCATCCCGGAAGAGGCCAACCCGCCGAGGGCAAACAGGATCGAGGGAACGGAATACCACCAACTCTTGCGAAGCCCACGCATGTACCGAGGCCAACCTTCGTCATGACGAGTGGTAACTCCGGTGTAGGGGTCGAAACCCTCGCCAGGCAGTGCTGCAGCATTCTGGATGGCCCAGGCCACGTACATGATGGCAGGGATACTGTAGGTGAAGTTGAGACTGAGCAAACCCCCAATAAGATTGGTGATTGACGTGAAATTGGGAACGGAAACGGCAAGCACCAAGGCGATGATCCAGTATACTGGACCAAGGACCAGCCAGAAATAGTATCCCTTCTTCGTGCTGATGGGCGGCAGACCGCAAAGCTCCTGGCCGACTTCCAGGTAGACCGTCTTCATGCCAATGTTGAAATACAAGAAGATGGCGAGGAATCCAGTCACCAAAGCTAGGATGTTGCTGACCAGCTGCAGACCATAGGGGCTGACAACCTGTGTGATGCTGGTGATGGAGTACTGACCAATATAGGTGTAAACGAAGGCGCCGAAGAAAACGTACACGACCAGGATGAAGGTTTGAGCCAGGAGACATCCCTTCCAGAAGTCCATCGGATGGCGCATCTCGGACAAGAAGGCGACAAAGAGAAGAGCCCCAGAGTAAGCATAGACGATGGTGTCGATGCCGTTGAACTGTGCCGCAAACAGATTTGTCGACTGCTGCTGGTATTCGGCAGGTGGCGTACCGATAAAGGTTTTGACCGGGTCGAATTTCTTCAAGAGGGTTGTCTGGAGAGCGACAGTAGGATCGGGCCCATTGAGAGCAGCAGCTGCACAGATGATAATGAAGCTGACAATGTTGAACCAGACTGCAAAGTTACAGAGCCAGCCAAGGTGCTTCAAAGATCGCAGCCAGCCCGAAGCCATACCAATGACCATGTTGATGATAACGATGGCGATGTAGCAGACCTTTGCCTTGGCTAGTTGTGACAAGACCTGTGAGTTGCCCATGAGCACCACACAGACGGAACACCACATCTGAAAGGCCTGAGTGACGTTGATGAAGTGACGGGTCTTGGGACCGAAGAGACGGAAGAAAGGATCGCCAAAGCTCAACATGGGGTAGCGCGAGGAGTCAAGAGCCAGAAAGACCTTCCAGATCATCAGCCCCGAGGCGGCGGCGGCGATTCCGAAAAGCACGAAAATGCCGACACCGAGACCGTAGCCAACACTGGCGAAGACATACGGAGTCTGACTCCAGCCAAGAATGTCGGTGGTGATGAGGTAGAAGATGGTGATCCAGCCAGTGGTGCGGAGCGCGCGAGCTGCTCGTCGCCACTCGGCATCCATATCGTGGATTTTTGACGGCGCGATTGGGGTGAGCCCCGAGTCGTTGGCAACAATGGCGTTCTTCTCCTTCTCGGGATGGTCCTGCTTCGCGCTGTCGCTGTGTGTCACCTCCTCTTGAGAGCCTTCGATACTGGAAGCATCAAATTCGGTGCTGTTGCTGAAATAGGCTTTGAGGTAGCCCACCATGCCTCCGCCCTTGAGCTTGGCCATATATCGCCGGTATTCCTCGGCCTCCATCTCACGTTCGATCTTGGCCCAGAAGCTATATTCTTCAAAGGTGACAGTAGGGTCCAGCCGGGCCTGCAAACCCCAGAGACGCTGCCGGATGCCTGGGTGAGCGCCGCTCTGCGACAGCTGACGAAGTTTATCAGGCTCCTGGAGCTCGCTCAGCTCCTTGTTACCCGTACTGATGGCCATGGGGCCGGTTGGTATGATCGACATGTTCGGTGATGGCCAGACGACAACCAGGCCGTAAAAGAGGACGGAAGAGTTGGGTCAGGAATGAAAGGTGAAAGGAGGTCAGAAACTCGCAATGGTCTGCAGCGTGGTTATGTATGCCAGCCCGCATGCTGGAGGAGCGCTGGTGGCAGCTGCCATGCCGATACAACCAGGATGCCCTCGTGGCCTCGCCCACGACAGACATGCCCGATCCTGTGAAGAACCTTCCATTTGGAATGTCTGCAATATCCACCACATGCAGGACCTGCCATGTTTTGGAGGGCTGGGGTAGGATTGCCACTCGGGCTGCCCTCTTCCTCCCTGTCCAAAGGCCTATGAAGATTCAACCGGACGAACAAAATCATAGGTTGTTATCAAAGGCGAGAAACTATTCACCGGCGACTGAGATTCTTGGGTAGGAGAACGGCCGATCAGTGGCAACAGCTCCCAGGAATGATTGAGCTAGCCCTCGCAACCCGAGAGCTGTGGCGCCACCAGCATGCTTGTTCGAAGATAACGGTGCGCTACCATGAGCTTGAATTGGAAGCGAGGTCGAGTGGCCGATGGATACGACCGGGGTGTGTCCAAGGAGAAGTGTCAAGTATTTCTTACCGGATGAGGCAGGTGTGGTTCCAACTGCGTCTTCGTGGGCTCGTAACAGGCTCATGGGTGCTTTTGGTTGACGTGGTGGCTATGTGCGCTACTTAGAACACTAAGACATTTAGCCTCGTGATCCGTCTAATCTCAAAGAGATTTAAGCATATACAAGCAATCACTAGTCTCCACTAAAATGCCTACTAAGCCTCGAACAAGCATATCATCAAGGTCCCACTAGCGGGCCTCCCGACACCCGTCCAATATCCGCCCCCGGCCCGCCTGATGATAAGAGCACGTAACTGGACTCGGTCAGGAAGGTGCCATTGGCAGAAAAGTCGGCGGTGCGGTTGTCAATGCGGACATATCTGGAGCCCAGGGTTGATTCCACGATGCCACCTTCAGGTACTACAATGGCCCCCTGATCGGCGTCGAGACTTGATGAAATTGCTGGAGCCGAGGTCAGATCTGATAGCGAATTCTTCAAATCAAAGATGCGCACCTGCGACGCCTTCCGCATTGAGAGAAGTTGGCGTGATTCCAATCTTGAGCGAATAGCGAAGTACCCTATCGCAGGCCATATTGACGGATTCGCGGATGAGAGAGTTGCATTCGGAATCTCCTACCTGCATGTTCACCTCACCGAAGCCCTTCTCAGCAGGGCCTCTCGAAGAGCCATCGAGCAGACCGAACAGACCGAACAGACCGAACAGATGGGTCAGGAGACCGCTTGGATTCAAAAATTCGAATCTCGCCATCGTGTCGAGTCAACTGAGCGTTGATGATAGAACAAGAGTGACGAACGTACTCGGGTTCACCGGCCAACCTTCAAAGGTCCAGGAACGATCCGCACTTGCTGACCTGGAGTCTACCTCTGACAGGTAGAATCACTGTCGCGGTCTTGCTGTTGAGATCATGTGGTGTCTGCCGTCCATGAATGGATCCCCGGGCATTGTTGGGATCGAGACCGCTGTACAAAAACATCACGGAAACTTGCCGAGGGTCGAGGAGCTCAGTTTACCAGACAATCCTGTCCAGTACCTCTTCTCTCGGAAAGACGGAACATACTGTATACTCGTTATTCCCGACCCAAGACCAGTGTTGGGCCTGAGTTCGGCCAATACCAAGGTTGGCAATTATAGCAATTGCACCAAATTTGGGTGTTTCCGCCCACTGATGCCGCCACACAAATCTTAGATTTACCTAACCCTCGCGTTTGAAATTGTGCATGGTGTCTTTCACGCACGTCGCTATCACCTTCTTGAGCAGTCTATCCTAGCTGGCAGAGACCGGCGTAGGTAAATAGACCGGTTCAGGCGGGTGTGGTCATTGTAAAGCCTCAATTTGAGGATGTAAGCAGCGGGGTGTTTTGTGTCTTGCAGCAGACCCATGTCATTCATATTCTTGGCCAGGTAAGATTTCGAGGCAATCCTGGTTTGTTCCTGTTATCGGCCTTTGTGAGTTGCGATTGGCTAGCATCATCGAGATGACTGGCGCTTGTCTGGGGTAGAGCTATTCTTCTCTCACCTGTTGTAGCTAAGTCGACACACGAGCTGATGTCGATACGCAGAGAAGCCTCGATTCGCACAGGATGAGATGCTAGAGCGTAAGGTGACACCCTACCAGGGTTTATGCATGAACGCCTTCTTTCGAGCAGGGAAAGGCATGCGATCTTCGCAACCGAAGTGCCGTAGCCATGACCATACCGGCCTCCGAAGTGGTTCGGCCCTTTACTTACCTCACATCAAACCGTTTGGAGTAGTCCGTGAAGGTGGGGGCAGAGAAGAGAGGATACGACCCCTGTACACGAGAAAGAGATCCATGGTGATCACGTGGAAATTTCGCATATCAGTGCGACCTCCGCAGCCCATGCTAAGATATCTGAGAGCAGTATGAGGATATACTGCGTGGTAGATGGAGAGTTTGGTCAGGTTAAGAGGAATAGTAGTGCCAAGGTTTGTAATGACACTCCATCACCTCTGCCACAGGTGTCAGCACGTGTGAAATGACATCACAATATTAAGCACAAGGCGGCATCAGCTTCCTTCTAAACAGGGACAAATGCGTCCTAGGAATTTTCCAAAGTTCCCCAGATTCTATCAGCAGTGCGGACTCCCTCTTCCCACACATAGACCTCTTCTCTACCACGACGTTGGATTAGACAATATGGCGACCTCTCCTGTCGCCGTTGTCTGCATTGGCATGGCCGGTATGGGTACAAGAGAATCTTTAAGAGTTAACCTCTAACACATCGTCGACAGGATCGGGTAAAACTACCTTCATGCAGCGTATCAACAATTACCTACATGTCAACAAGAAGAAACCCTATGTGCTCAATTTGGATCCGGCTGTTGTCAACGTCCCATTCCAGCCCAACATCGACATCCGCGACAGTATCAACTACAAAGAAGTTATGAAGCAGTACAACCTTGGCCCTAATGGAGGCATCTTGACGTCTCTCAATCTATTTGCGACCAAAATTGACCAAATCATCTCTCTGCTTGAAATGCGAGCAAATCCGCTTCCAGATAGCAAAGTGCCCCCGCCACACCATTTCTTGGTCGATACACCAGGCCAGATTGAAGTCTTCGTCTGGTCTGCCTCAGGCAGCATTCTCCTTGAATCGCTTGCATCCTCCTTTCCTACCGTCATCGCCTACATCATCGACACGCCACGCACATCCTCCACATCGACATTCATGTCCAACATGCTCTACGCGTGCTCGATACTATATAAAACGAAGCTTCCAATGATTCTTGTTTTCAACAAGACGGACGTTCAGGACGCTGATTTTGCAAGAGACTGGATGACAGATTTTGACAAATTCCAAGAAGCGCTCAATGAGGAGCAGAAAAAAGGTGTCTTTGGCGGTGAGGGTTTCGGTGGAGGGAGCGGTTACATGGCGAGCCTTCTCAATAGCATGAGTCTCATGTTGGAGGAGTTCTATTCTCATCTGAACATGGTGGCAGTCTCAAGCATGACCGGAGAGGGTGTTGACGAATTTTTTGAGGCCGTGGAGGAAAAGAGGAAGGAGTTCGAAAGGGATTACCGCCCGGAGCTAGAGAAGAGACGGAAAGAACGTGAGAAGGAGAGCGCTGCGAAACGAGAACACGACTTGACGAAAGTAATGAAAGACATGAAAATGGACTCCAATGCAAAGTCCGATGACAATGCTACAAAAGAAGAATCCGATGGCACCGACGACGAGGAACTTGTCGATGCAGACGATTTTCCTGACGCGGACCGACAAGACGACGAGGAAGGCTTGAAGCAGCGATACAGGAACGCTCTACGTGAACAAGGCATCCAAGTCGACGATGATGATCCAACAATCGCACGAATGCTGGCAGAAACGCGGCGAGCAGGATGAATTCTGGAAGAGGGTGGAGGGATTGTTGTCGCAATTTTCGCATTAGCATAAGATACCCAGGCTAGGAGTTAGATAATAGGAAAGCGCTTTTTCTTTCTGCAGAGTCACTTGGTGTGAATATACGCCTCATTTTTAGACACCCAGGAATTTTCCACAGAGCTTCAGCTTGTTTCACAGATATGTTGGTAGGGTACTGCATCATTTAGTCGAGCCTTGTGGCGGGCCGCAAGGCTGAGCAATCCCCTCCAAAAATGCCAAGCCGCGCACAAAAATCATCAGGGCTTGGCACCTGACCTGCGATTTTGGGAATTGGGGAATTTCTGAAAGTGCGGTTTTCCTATCGTGAGACGACTTTTGCGCAAATCCCTCCTACAATCAGTTGCCCACACCGCTGCCCAAGATGAAGTACATCTTCTCGCAAGAGCAGCTGGTCATCCCAGAGGGTGTCAGCATCCACATTCGCTCGAGAATCGTCACGGTCGAGGGTCCCCGAGGTACGAAAGACGACGCCCATGCCAACCCTAAGCTTTTGCAATTGCTGGAGAGAACATTGGGAAAAAGCATCTGCTTCTAGAAGACAGAAGCAAAAGCGGAAAGAGACTAACACAAATTCTTCTTGAACAGGAAAACTCACCAAAGATCTCTCCCACATCGCCGTCACCTTCACACTCGGAAAGAACAAGCAAGGGCAACAGCTCGTTCAAATCGAAATCCACCATGGCCAGAGAAAGAACGTCGCCGCCCTGCGGACGGTCAAGTCGATTATCCAGAACTTGGTGACCGGTGTGACCAAGGGCTACAAATACAAGATGCGATACGTCTATGCTCATTTTCCCATCAACGTCAACATTGAGAAGAATCCCGAGGGCTTGTATCACTTGGAAATCAGGTAAGAGCAGGCGATCTCCCACCAACCCTTGTTCGCGCACGCACACCTACGTTGAAAGGTATTTGGAAGTAAGAGGACGGAACGCCAAAGGGAAAAAACTTACAGACGAGCTGGACAAAAGAAAACAAGCGTAATAAGGCAGATACTAATCGTTATTTTCTCTGTGACAGAAACTTCTTGGGAGAGAAGATCGTCCGACACGTTACCATGCACGACGGTGTCTCGGTGGAAGCATCGAAGGGTGTCAAGGATCAGATTGAAATCACCGGCAACAACCTCGAGAACGTGTCACAATCCGCCGCCGACATCCAACAGGCCTGCAGAGTGAGGAACAAGGATATCCGGAAGTTCTTGGATGGGCTGTACGTGAGCGAACGGGGCAACATTATCGAAGAGTAGACGCCGAATTTTGTCACACACTGCATTCCATTGATAGCATGCTCGTGACTGTGGATTGGTATTGAGGGGATGACGGGAATGCCAGGGGAACAGCGCCGTTGAAGTGTGGAAAGAGGGTTCTGTCAAACAACCGCAACATGCATGATGGACGAAAAGAAGAGGCGTCATGATCTTGCAAAATGGGTTCCGTTCGCATGTTCTCGGCAGATACGAGTCCTTTGCACAATGGGAGTGCCGAAGAGCCCATTGTCGCCTCTCCCTATCTCGAGACCCTAGGACCCGGCGAAATGGTCTAGATGAAGAAATCAAACCAAAACTCCAGAGCTTCTGTGATTTGATCCATCCAAGAAAGGCGTGCCATGTGTCCTGTTCGATTCTCCCGTTCCTGTGCCCGAGCGAATGGTGGTCGTCTCTCGGATATCTCGATTTGCGTGGCTTGACTCATGGTGAGGGCGTTGCTTGGGCCAGAGTGCGGCGGTGAACATTGCAGACTTGAATTGCTACCGTGAGGCTTGGATGTGCAGGGCCACTAAAACAGTGCTGGACAGCCCAACTCATCTGTATGAGTATCTCCTCGTCTGGTCCGAGCCGCTGCGACGCTTTCTTCTTCATCGATCCGGTAAGTTTAGTTCCCCATGATTACTACCTTGAGCCCTTTTAAAGCGAAGGGTTTTTCCTGTATTCCTCGGGCTGCAGTACTCTCTTCTCTGGCACCTGTGTCAGTACGATGGTAACCCAGAGGACAATGTCGCGCGTGTTATGTGACGAGGCTGTGCCTCGAGGGAATTTAGTGGGCACAAGCACTACCAGAGGTGTTGAAGCAATCTAGAGGATCAACTGTGTGAATTAGCAGAAGCTTGGTGTCTTTCGCCCTACTGTCGAGGCACATTGCAGCGTCGGGCATCCAGGTGGGATTGAAAGACTTGTCAACGCCATAACCATGCGAGGCGAGGCAGCCACTATGCCGCATGAGGCCCAAGGCTGCGTCTCGACCTCTGAGCCTCGAGCCTCTACCGCCGCTGCGCCACCCTTCCTCCTCTTTGCTTCAACCAGACACAAGCCCTCAGGACAAGATGGTCAGGTCACCTCATACTGTCTCTTTGTAGATAGAGATATGAGCTCGTGTGGACCATGCAGGCCCGTCTCTCTGCTACCTGCCCACGACTATGTCCCGTTTCTCACTCTTCAAAACCAAGCATTGGCGTCAGAAGACAGCACAAGCAACACATTCTAACCTCGATATCGAGAGCTTTCCTTTGGGAATCAAGATCCTTTTCGATCCGCCAGACGCAGGGCTCGACATTGTTTTCGTCCACGGCCTGACGGGCGATCGAGAGCGTACATGGACGAGCCATGCTACTGGGTTGTGCTGGCCATCTGACCTCCTCCCGACCTTATTGCCTGATGCGAGAGTCTTGACGTTTGGTTATGACGCCTATGTGGTCCGGAATCATGGGCCCGTCGCACAAATTGATATTTCACACCACGCAAGCGACCTTCTGAATGCTCTCGCCAACGAGAGACACAGCGACGGCTTGGCTACCAGACCGCTCATCTTCGTGGCCCACAGCCTCGGTGGTGTCCTGTGTAAAGATGCCCTTCGCATCTCTGAGGCTAGCGGAGACGCCAATCCAGCTGCCATAGTCGATCACACCTGCGGTATCATCTTCCTCGGAACACCACACGGAGGTAGCTGGCTCGCTTCATGGGCCAAGATGCCCGCTGCAATGCTCGGCCTGGCGAAGAGAACAGATCTGAGCCTCCTTTCACTATTGAAACCCAACTCCGAGGTACTGTCACGTATTCACGACGACTTCCTCTCCATGGTCAGACGCAGAGGGTCACAACATCATCCAATACAGATAGCGTGCTTTTACGAGACTCTACCCCTAGTCGGGAGAATTCAGATCGTCGACCAGCTGTCCGCCACGATACCGGGTTTCAACAATATATCAATACACGCAGACCACCGGGATGTTGCGCGCTATGCCTCGGCTGAGCACCCAGGCCTCAAAAGTATTATCGGCATACTAGAGCGTTGGGTCCAGCCAGACGTTACGACCGGCGCCCTGGGTGCTGATGCCAAAGCATTTCTTGAGACTCTCTCGTTTTCGGAGATGGGTGTCCGACAAGCTACAATTGAGCACGCTCAGACCGGCACCTGTCGCTGGATCCTGGAAGACCTTCACTACAAAGCTTGGGTAAACTGTCCGGACCTCGATCAATCACACGGCCTTTTATGGATCAAGGGCAAACCGGGCAGTGGGAAATCGACACTCATGAAATACATTGCATCTGAGGCACCTAGACCTAGAGGAGTAGTAAGACTTACTTTCTTCTTCAATGCTCGAGGCGGTGATGAGGAACGTAATGCGCAGGGGCTATTCAAAACTTTCCTCCATCAACTGGTGCAAGAGTCTCCTTCCATGACAAGTCGGCTTCTAACGCATTTTAGAAGGAAGAAGGCCAAAGTTGGCAACCGGCCTGTCGTCTGGAGCCCCGCAGAGCTGCGAGATCTATTCTTTGAGACGATTCAGTTCAACTCCAGAACTGCAGTCGAGATCTTTGTTGATGCTCTCGACGAGTGCAAGGAAGAGGAGGTTCGCACCATCATCGCTGCCTTTGAAAGATGTGCAGCCGAAAGCATGGCTAAGAGGTCTCGAAATCTCAAGATCTGTTGGTCTAGCCGACACTATCCTCACATCAGCATCATCAACGGATTCGAGATCAGAGTCGAGAAGGAGAATCTTGGAGATATATCCCTCTATGTCCACCACCACATGGCCAGATCAGAACGCCAACAATCATTCCAGACTTTGGAAAAAAGGATTGTTGAAAAGTCCAACGGCGTGTTCCTTTGGGCAGTCCTCGTCGTCCACAGAATATGTAAACTTGCCGACAAAGGTCTTCCCGTTGCCCGAATCGAGAAAGTCATCCACGAACTGCCATCAGAGCTGAGCAAGCTCTATTCCGAGATCTTCTCGACACTCGACCCAGAGTTGGCAGAAGATAGTGCCAACCTGATGTACCTTGTATTGTACGCAGGCCGACCTCTTGATACCGATGAGCTTCGGATCGGACTCGAGTTTATGAGAAGTACCTATCCTTCTTCACTAGAAGGCTTTGCAAATTTGTCAGAGCAGGTGTCTTACTTTAGGAACTTTGTTACTGGACTTTCTGGAGGACTTCTTGAGGTAATCGACTCTGGCGTTCCTGTAGGGCCTCAAGGTCCTGATCTGGAGGAGTCATTCAGAGTCAAGGACTTCCCGTTTGGAAGGCAATCAGGGTCTCGATCCGATTCTCGAGAGCGATGGCATAGCGCCATGGCGCAAGTGAATTCGAAGCGCCCAATAGCTGACAGACAGAATATGTCCCCCGATGTGGAAACGAGATGCATCGTCCAGGTAATCCACGAAACAGTCCGGGACTACTTGATGAACGACGGCTTGTGTCATCTCCCCGGAAGATCCTCGCCTGTGCCAATGGACTTTCGTGCAGGCCACCTTCATCTCTATCAAATGTGCAGTCGTCTAATGGCGACCGATGAGTTGAGCTGTGTTCTTTCAGGATCGCAATGCACGTCGTTACTTGGCTCGACTCCAGCTCTTGTCAAGTTAGGTTGGCGATGGTCAGGCACAACGATCGTCCACTACGTGATGGCATATGCTTTCTTGCACTTGAGAAACTCCCAATTCTTCGACGCGGCTGATCAGTGTGGGCCTCAATGGGCCGTTCTCGGCCCAATTCTTCAACGGAACGTGCATCCAGCCGCGATCAGGGAGACCATCTTCCGATGGGAATGTATTCGAGCTTACGACATGGCGGACCGCCGGAGTAAGCTCCCATTGAAATTTTCAGATTACTTCGAGATTATTGATAGAGACTTGTCCCCTATTCTAGAGGCAACGAGTCTCAGGTTGGCAGATTTCGAATTCTGCGTCGCCCTGGGGCATGTGGCTCTCCTGGCCCTTCACCGGCACGGATACGCTTTTACGTGGAATGGCCTGGTTGAGGTTATCTGCGCAGCAGCACATCATGGGACTGTGGAGGAATTGGGTGTCCTCTTGCGAACCTCCAACAACAAGCATTTAGACTGGGATGGAGGGATACGGCCACTCTTGATGGCAATCCAATCACGCCGAGTGACGGCTGTGGAGATGTTACTGACCAATGGCGCCGTCGTCAACACCTCCAGCAAAGCGAAAGGGACCCCTCTGTTTCTGGCTATCGAGTCTGGTGATATCTCGATAGTTCTCACGCTGCTCAAACACGGTGCCAGCGTAACTCGGTCGACTGACGGCACATCACCACTAAGCCTCGCCGCCTCCCTCGGGTATAAGGATATGGTAAACCTTCTACTAGAGTATGGCAGGGAGGAGCTGAGGAAGCCTTACATCTTGGAAAGGGCATCTCGCGCAGGGGAGAAACAAGGCCACCAAGAGATTGCTATGATGCTCGCAGAAGAAGCACGTTCTTTCGACTCATCCAAGGAGAGCCCGCCACCAGGAGACCCGGCACCACCGGGAAATCACCGAAGCATACAAAAATTGGCCCGGTCTAGCGACACCGATTCAATCACAGAAGGCGATTTCTTTATTCCCGTCTCTCCAGTTCCAGGCGAGACGACGATTAATGGTGATGGGTAGGATCTGGGTCCCGATTCAGAATGCGATACCCCACCTTTGACTGGCCACTATAACGTTAATATTTTCCCGTCCCGTATATTCCTATTTTGGAAAGATCCATATTTATACCCATTTGGCTATTACCTCGACTCGACACCAAGCTACATGTTAAATCATGGAACAAACACAATAAACCACCTTTTCCCCCTGGATCGCCGCCCTAGATTCAGCGGCATGACAAGTCCCGAGGTCCACAGAAAGAAAACTACCAAGCAATATCCAACTATGTATTCATGCATCGACAGCCTAGGCGGGTCAATTTCATATTGTTGCAACTATCCATGTGCGTGGCTCGAACCATTGTCTTGTCGAGCACTTTGACCTGGTGACAAAGACACTGTCAATCTACGAGGGTGCTCCAAGACTCCTTCCAGTCGGGATTGCTCTCACAGGACTGAGAAAGAGGATCTCAGTGAACAACAGGAAGGGTGGTGGACAAGGTGGGATAGTTGTACGCATGATCCTGGGCCTGGAAAAGCCTTGTCGCTGCCTGTCTGGCCACGCATCAGGCAGGGACCGCATCCGAAGACCCAGTAGATGTGTGTACACTAATACCAATTTTCGCGGCAGCACGTGTGAAACAGCAATCATTCGTGGAAGCAGCCAACAGATGACCTCTCCTTTCTCCACATCTCAACTGACAACCGCGCTTCCTCCAGAGAAAATGATAGAGGCGGTACAAGAAATGGCAACGGGCTCAAATATGATCTTTCACGGGAGAAGACAACGTGTGCGTCAAACCTAAGCCTCGCCGGAAATCATGCTACGTCTTGATTCGCTCCAAGGCTGTTTCTTTTCAATGTGTTTTGAGCTCTATTCCTTTGTCGTCTCGCCAAATTGAACAAGATGAAGAATAGAGAGCCGAACGAGAATTAGCTGCTTTCGTCCTTGATCGAAATCGTTCAATTTGTCCCACAGCACAAATAAATACCCAAGGCAACGTCAAATGCCGAGCGAGATATTTCACTCCAACATCTCAAGCCCAGGCGAAATTGCTGTCGCGTTTGACTCCATTTCTGTTCTCTCCCGAAGCGAAGTTGTAGCAAAGTTTGATGACGGGCGAGGCTAGCTGTAGCCCCTTTTGACATTTTGACCACGACGACTACTCTATTCCCAGCCTGGACCCGGGCTGACCTGATGAAATCCACAGTCGGGTGATCGGGCCCGAGGCTCGGGGTAGGGCTTACTGACAGCATCAGCCTTGTCCCACTTGTCACAGGATTCATCGGGGTGTCAAGTCCCAAGCACCGTACGGAGTTCCCCAGGCCCTCATGCTACTCATTCACTAGAGCTATCTGGTCAGCAAGGATCGCTGCAGTGGGTGACAGCAGTCAGCGCCGCACATCGGCCGATGGATTTTATTTTTGGCGATGCGGGGCAAGGTCTCGGTTGGCATCTGAAGGAGAATGGCCGTCTGCGCTCGCACGGTAGACCAGACTGCGGTTCACAGCGTTCGATCGAGGGGGGTCGTCGAGGCACGATGTGAGAGTGTAGCGGGCGAAACACAAGTACATGTGGGATAATTCGGCGGCCATGAACAAACAATAAGTAAATTGTCTGTGCGAAGGGGAAACAAATATCGCGGGGAAGCGACTGGAGTACGAGGTACATGGTCAGATTCCCAGGTGGCTGTATTGAGCTTTGGCAGATTTCCAAGTTTGTCCTCTCAAGCGGGAAAAGGTCAAACCACCTTGCGTGCAGGGGACCCCGCCACCTACGAGGAGTGGCCATTGATAGGCCTCACCAGCCTCACTAGCCCCCCGGAAGAACCTAACATTGGGCAAAAAGAATTAGTTCCCCCGGTCCGACTTTCAGGCTGGAGATGCATCGCCCGCCACGGGCATGTGCTTTGCCCTGCAGCCCTGATGTTGCTCGCCCCCCCAGTGCCCAGTGCCCACCCACCAAGTGTTCAGCTGTTCGGTACTGGTTGGCATGCCCATTATCTCCCTCCACATCACCCGCAGCTGCCGACCGAAGTTGCATCAACGGTTCCGTTGGACCCTTTCTTCCCTTTCTTTGTCGGATCTGATTGACAACTCGACAATCTCTACTGTTAACCTCTGCTTCGCAGATCTCCTCAACGTCTCCCTTCGTCCTCCTCCATACCTAACCTATTCCTCCTATCCATAGTATCCTTATCCGTCCGCCGCCGCCGCCGCCGCCGCCGCCGCCTCTATCAGACCTCCCTGCCTCTGCGGAGTTCTGCCCTACGTCCCCAGTCTGTCATATATGCAATCTCCGCAACGCTCATTTCGTGCATTGGAGACATAGCGACCCTCCGATCGTGCGCCCTCCTCTCGATCAGCCGCGTCTGTCGCCCTACGATCTTTCAACGCGAAACAAGATCAGAATGCCCTTCTGCGGTGGGAAGAAGGTGGTGCAGCGCAAACTCGTCCTGCTGGGCGACGGTGCCTGCGGAAAGACCAGTCTACTGAACGTGTTTACTCGCGGCTTCTTCCCGGTTCGTCCTCTGTGTCTGTTTTTGTTTCTAATGACACCTGAACCAAGCCTGGCCTGCTCCGAGGTACATACTGACGTTGCTGCCTCCCCAGACTGTCTACGAACCCACGGTCTTCGAAAACTATGTCCACGATATCTTCGTCGACGGTATTCATATGGAATTATCGCTATGGGACACCGCTGGGCAGGAGGAATTCGACCGGTTGCGATCCCTTTCGTACGATGATACTCAGGCCATCATGTTGTGCTTTAGTGTATGGCGTGCCCATCCAACGCTTGTCGCCTCCTTCTGAGCGTTGAGCAATGCTGATAACGGCAATTTTGGTTCGCAGGTCGACAACCATGGTTCTCTCGAAAACGTGTCCACGAAATGGATTGCCGAAATAAACGAACATTGTCCCGGGGTCAAGATTGTCCTATGCGCTCTAAAATGCGACTTACGGGAAGAGCACGAAAAGGACGATGACGAGGAGCATGGGGCTCCCCCGAGACCTATGATTCAATATAACGAGGGATTAGAAGTTGCGCGACGCATCGGGGCGCTGCGATATCTCGGTAACGCCAGAAATCACGCTTTATGACCATGTGGAAATCTAACAGGCTTGTTTTGACAGAATGCTCAGCTATGCGAAACCGCGGCGTAAACGAGGCCTTTACGGAAGCCGCACGAGTGGCATTACAAGTCAAACCGGCTCGGTCGAAAGACGACTCAAAATGTTCGGTGATGTGACGAAGTTCAGGTTCAATAGCACTGTCAGCTTTTCCACCTTGGAGTTTCGCCCATGCTTTCCTCCTGCTACTTCGAGTTTGCCCATCACAGCGGGCACTTCCCCATCCTCCCTCCTCGAGGAGTTACTATCTTGTGTACATACCCGTCGCTCTGCCTCCTCGCGCCTTTCGCCGCCTGTTTCGAAGCAAGAGAAAGATTTGTCGGTTCTTAGCGTTGCAGTATTTTTGGTTGAACCTTTTTGGAAAGCCCGGAGGCATTACGATCTGGCGTTTTAATGTTGGTTGAGTCCTAGAGTTTTGGACATTGCGATGAGACGACGGCGGGATGATTTGATCTGTAGCGGGACCCATTGGGACAGAGAATCAATCTGTCTCGGCTCAATCGTGCGCTTTGTACAGCGTTTCGGTCAAACAATGAGGCATCCTGGTGCAGCTCGAAATCTGATCCTCAGCACATGAAAAGTTTTGATAGATCTGTCAATCCCTGATGCCGTTGACCAATGGCTGACCATTACTCCTGCCTCTCTCTCCTGTGGCAGAGTCCCCGGTATTACTTGGTGGAGCATCTTCAGCGACCAAAACCCAGTCTTTGACACCTCCCTTCCAGTCCGCTAACCTCCCTTCCCGCACGGGAACAAGAACTACCCTCACATCGTCTCCTTCAATATAGCAGCTACTGTTCTCCGCATCGGCATTTTCTGATTGTCCGCCGAAAAACCCTGCCTCTTGCGTGACTTGACCTCCGAACGTGTTATTCGCCAGGTGTGCCTCTTTGCACCACTTTTCCTCTTCACTGCCTTGTTCCAGGACCCTTGCTTCTCCTGCTATCGTAGTTGATATTGAGCTGAGGGCAGACGTGTTCAGATTCAGGAGGAGAGCGGCAAGAGACGAGCGAGCGGCGGTAGCAGGCGGAGAGCCGGCCCGTTGCTCACCACCCACAGAGGTGGCTGTCGGCGGTCTGTGGGATACCCAGTCGTGCACCAGGATGGATACTTTGGGATTGTGCATCAGGTTCTGTGTCTTCATGGACTTTGCATTTGTGGTCATGATAATGACGGGGCCGTGGTGGTCGTATGAAGGCAGGAAAGTGTAGTTCATCAGGGACACATGGGGTGTTGGCGTGCCGGACTGGCTCAAGCCAATTGTTGCAAGATGGAGGAAACGGGCGTTCTTGAGGCATTGCGATACTTCCGGAGGTAAGGTCGTGGAAACGAGTGGGTTGGTGGTGGTGTTGGAGGCTTCATAGTTGAGGGGCGGGTTGTGGGCGTCAGCCATGTCTTCTGCAGCTGCTTTTCTGAACAGTTTCTATCCACAAGTAGTTGAGACTGAGGGATACCCGTGAGACTATGGTCGAGATCTGTAAAGACGTATCTGACGTTGCAGGTAGGAAGGGATGTTCGCGTAGATCTCTCGAATCGACTTACGACAAAAAGCGAGGTGGGATGATGGAGGCCGCTAAAACTCAAATTGTCACACATGCCTTTTGCTGGACCATTGGGCAGGTGGCACAAGGCATTTCTCCCCGCAGCGCCCAACTTGCCCACTTGTTAGTGGAAGCTTTCCCACAAAGAAGGAGTAGGGTAGCCTAAAATGCCAACTGGGCCCGGGCTGTGACACCAGTTGGGTGCCAGTGAGAGCTCCAAGTAGTGACGTCGATGGATGTTTCTCCCTCCCTGTTTGTCCTGGCTCATTTGCTTGCTTCTGCAGGGTAGCCAGCTTCTCACTTCCAATCAACACGCATAAGCTGCCACACGCCTGCCACACTCTATCAC